ATGATGCAACTGTGAGGTGCGAGTGCTCTGCGTTCACAGCAACCCCGCAGCTCCAGGTGTTTCTCGCTCAGCACTTTCTCCAAGCTGTAATGCACAAGTCTAGTCCACAGGGAGGGGCTGGCAAAATGTTAACAGTGCAGTGTCTCTCTGTGCCTCTCCGCGGATGCTCCAGAAAGTCTGCGTTGATAGATGGGTCATCCAAAGAAGGAGAAGACAAGCAAGGAGTGGTGGAGGCTGAGGCACGAGGATCTCAAGTTCAAAGCCTGCGTGGGCAACTTAGCAAGATCCTGTCTCACGGTAAAATAAGAAAGACGGGTGCATGGCGAGGGTGCAGCTCAGTGGTAGAGAATTTATCTGGGTTCAATTCCCATACTTAAAAGGAGGGGAGTTATTTCTATGTTTTAATGTAAAAATAAAATTAGTATATTAGGCTATTTACCTAGAGCATAATCTGAGAAATGACGGTGGGTTAAACCTAAAGGTGTACAAATCAGGCTCAGGAAAAAATGCTGGGGTGAGGTTCCCTGATGCCCACGCCGGGCCCCTCCTCCTGCGTGATGCTGCGTGGAGCGGGAGTGAGCCCTGGGCTCCTCCGGCAGAGTGCCCGGAGACCGGGCGGGAAGCAGCCGTATGCTCCTGTCCTAAGACAGGGTGTGGGGTACGGAAAGGTGACAGGGTGGCCCGGCGCGTTCGCCGCCGCCCTCCAGATCTGCCGTTCCCAGGAGCAGGAGGCGCGGCAAGGCCTCCTCCCAGGGGCTCGGCGCAGAGCGCAGGTCCCTCCTGAGCAGGAGCTGCAGCGGTGCCGGGACGCCGCCGTGTGCGTCCTCACGGCCTCCGCTCGCCGGCCCCGGCCGCCCCGGCCGCGGAGACCGCAGAGCGCGAGCCGGAGGGAGCCGAGTGCAGGGAGGCGGCGCGGGCGCGTCCGGGAGAGGCGGAGCCCCCGCGCTGCAACCCGGCCCGGCCCGCGCTGCCACCCCGAGGGTCCCAGGATGGCTAGCACAGGGTAGCACAGGTTTTAACTCGACCGTGACTTTCACTTCTGATCACACCGCATACATCAGCAGGCTCCTGTCCGTCTCTGGGCCCGACTTGCTTGCGTTCGGAAAACTACGGCCATCTCCAGGGGACGGCCCCAGTGCCCGTCGGCGCAGCGGACAGGGAGGGGCCTCGGCGCGCGGGGGAGCACAGCGGCGCCCCGCAGCAGGGATCCTGCCCGGCTCGCGGGGCCGCGACG